TACATTGACTCTGCTCATTTCTGCAATGCAATTAATAAGAATATCACTCTTACTTAAGATCCTAGTGAAGAACTAGATGGTTTCCAGTGGAAAACCAGCCCTGTGAGTTTAAAGAACCTGCCTTGGCCACCATTTAGGAACCTGACTAAGTTCAGGTTTTGATCATTGTTGTGTTATCTCCAATCTCCGATCAAAAGGAGCGAGTGACTTAGGAGTTAAAACTAGAGCCTTTTTTCCCTGTCCTTCAGTATAAATAATGTGATTCAGCTGGAGCTGGAACTCAAAAGGACACATCAGCTGGACCCTAAGGTATAAAAACAACAGCTAGGACAATCTTAGAAAACATCTTTTAGGAAATCTTTCACATAAATCCTTAGGACAAAAGATACTCACATATTTTCCACTCTTATTTTTTTCTATTAGAATTTATTAAATAGTAGGATTTGTTAGACCAAATGAAGACCCTCCTGACTGTCATTACTGAAACTTGTACCAATGATTATTAAGAAAGACTATTTAAAATGTAGGACCAGGGTGATTTAGCAGTTTTTAGCCAATCTGTGAAAAGATAAAGCTTTTAATGATTTTACTCATTTATAATATCAATATATACTGATGATTCTGTAACATTTCTCAGATTTGGGCAGGCATGGCTCTGGCAGCTTTCTTATCCTTTTCCCATTTTTGTCTTTTGGAACTTAAGCTGAATAAAATTTTTCTTCTTGCTGTACTATAACTTTGTGGTGATTTTACCCTAGGACAAGTCCCTCCATAGACGCCCAGTCTTGGAGCCCCCAGTTCCTCCAGGCTTCTTAGCTCTCCAATCCTTCTCGACCTGGTTTGTTGTCGTTGTTAGGTGCCATCAAGTCAGTTCCAATTCATAGCGACCCTACGTACAACAGAATGAAACACTGCCTCGTACTGCGCCATCTCAACTTGGTTAAAGGGATGAATTTCAGCAATATTGGAGGCTTGTGGAAATAGAGGGATAAAGATACCTCCTTCTTTCCTTTTCCTTTAGTCAACCATCTCCTGTCTTAGAAAATGAGTGACCTCTGAATGCCATGACTATTTCAGTGAAGAATTCACCCAAAGGCAGGCAATGCAGGAGAGAGAATGGGAAAGGGGCTGAACCTGAGCTATCTAGAGATAGCTATTTAAATCAGGTGAGTCAACCAGTTGACTCATCTGGACTTTTTTTTTTTTTTGGCTTCTCCTTGAGGAGAGCAAGGGAAACAGGGTTAGAAAGGGTTAAGCAGACTCCAGTAGAAATATTCCATTCATATTATGAACTTAGAAATATAGCACCTGTGAGGCATTCAGGGAACATATAATGAACTCAACTGATGACTGTGGTTTTGACTAGAGCTGTCACTGAATATTTCTAGTTCTTCTAACTACAGAAAAGTCCCTGTCCCTTTGGAGTTAGGTGTGGCTGTGTGACTTGCATTGGCTAGTGAAATGTGAGTGTAAGTGGAGTGGGTCACTTCTGGGTAGAAGCTTTGAGAAACAGTGTGCAACTCACCATGGCACTTTCCAGTAATCATGGAAGTGTGTGTTAAAAGGGAATCTTCATCAACCTGGGTCTTGGGGTGACTACAATGGATACAGCTTTCCTGAAGACATGTACTGAATACGTAGCATAAGAAAAAAATCAATGTTTTTTGGCTAAATCACTGAGATTCGGGGGGCTGTTCATTATGACAGCATAATTTGGTCTATTCTCACTGAAATGATGATGAAATTCAGCCAACAAAGAGATGTACCAAAATGAAGAGTTCAGAAAAGGTAAAGCTGTGATTTAAAAAATTATGATACCAACAAGAATTGATGATAAGCACTTCACATAAATGTACAACTAAGACAAACAACTGCAAAGATTATATATTTATTAAAAGAATGTAAATACTATAAACCTTGACAAATTAAAAATTATAATAAAAATGAAAATGGGAAGAATAGTGCTAATTTCTTCTTACTTTTATAGTTGGAGTTTGATTTAGGAAATAATATTGGAGTTATTATTCCCTGTCCTTGAGCATAGAGAATGTGACCCAGCTGGAGCTGGGCTCACAAGGATTCACAAAGACACATCAACTGGGCCCTGAGGTGTAAAGACAATAGCTAAGATAATCTTGGAAAATATCTTTTAGGGAAACTTTCACATAAAGCCAATCAAACAGAACACAAAAGACTTTCCACTCTTATCTTTTTCTATTAGCATTTAGTGAATAGAAATTTGTTGGACCAATGAAGACCCTCCTGACTCTCATTACTGAAACCTGTACCAATGATTGTTAAGAAAGACAATTCAAAATGTAGGATCACAGTTTCTAGCCAATCTGAAAAGGCTAAGCTTTCAATGGTTTTGCCCATTTGTAATGTTGATATATACTGATGACTCTGTAATGGTTCTTTGGACTGGCTGTGGCAGCATGCTTGTCTGTTTTCCCACTCTTGCCTATTCTGTAATATTCTTTGGACTTGGGCAGACATGGCCCTAGCAGCATGCTTGTCTGCTTCCCACTTCTGCCATTTTGAATACATGCCGAATAAAACTTTCTTTTTGCTTTACTAGACTTTATGATGTTTTTCCCCTATAACAAGTTCATACCATCTAACACTGAAAATCAGAGTTTAAAATAAATACAATGATGCCAAGCTCTTACTGTTTTCTACTATATTCTTAAACTCAGAGGAAATTGATTTAGAAATTACTATATGTAAGTGATGAGGAAAAATTAACTGAAGTTCAGCAATTCTCCCAGTTCCACTTTTTTCTTCAGGTAAATTACAGTAAAACTATATTCCAAAACGTTTATCTTAGGTTGGATTCCCCCCGTAGCAGACTCTGAGACTAAAATTTGAGTATCTCATTTGCGGGGGGTGGGGGGGTGGGGAAGGGGCAGGGGAAGTGATCCCAGGAAGCACTGGTAGGGGAGTGAGGAAGCAAGACAGGGAAGGGAAGGAAGCAAAAACAGATGGTGTGAAAGAGCAAGTGACCACTGTCAGCAACTGGGGCTCAACCATACTGGAGAGCTTGGGAAGATGGTATAGAACAGGCCCCAGAGTTGTCCCATCTGAAGGCAAGGAAGCTGGGGTGTCTATCCATTCATTATTGAGGGCTTCTCCTGAAGGCATTGCCTCCCTGGCACTTCTTCCCTGTTGTGTGGGTGGGCCAATCCCACTCCTGCAGCAAGAGAAGTGCTCAGGAAGAGGGCATTCAGATGCTTGCTAAGGGAAGTCCTTGGCCTCTACTAGAATGGTAAATGCCAACATGATATGGACTGGGCACCAGCAGCATCTGCTACAATGTTTTTAAGTTAAAAATTCCTAAAGTCCCTGGGTGGTGCAAATGGTTTATGCCCTAGGCTGCTAACTGAAAAGTTGGCAGCTCAGATCTAACTTTGGAAGAAAGGCCTGATGATCTGCTTCTGAAAAATAAGCCATTGAAAAGCCTATGGAGCACAGTTCTACTCTGACACACATTGGATCACCATGAGTCAGAATCAACTGAATGGCAACTGGAAAAAAAATAAAAGGATTAATGTCAAATGAATTATGCTAAATGAAAGAAGCCAATCTCAAATGTCTACATACTATGTGATTCAATTTGCATGACAGTCTGGAAAAGTGAAAACTATGACAGAAAAATGATCCATGGTTGCCAGGGGATGGGGACTGAGGGAGAAGCAGTAGGGAAATTTTGAGGTCTTGGAAGTGTTCCACATCTGGATTTCAGTGATGTTTACATAACTATACATTTGTCAAAATTCATAGAACACTTTAAAAAGTTGAGCTTTACTGTATGTAAATCATATCTAAAAAATCTGACTGTGATGGCTTTAGAAATATGTCTACATATTATTTACTATTTCTAGAAAAGGAGCTTAATTCTCCTTCCCTTGAGGACTTTTTGACTTGCTTCTAATGAGTAGAATAAGGCAGAAAGGATGCTGTGTGATTCACAGACTAGGTCATAAGAGGCATTGTGGCTTCCTGCTTGCTCTCTCGCTCTTTTGGATCACTCACATTGGGGGAAGCTAGATGCTACCCCTTGAGCAGCCCGACACAGAGGCCCATATGTAAGGAACTGAGTGTTGCCTCCTGCCAACAGCCATCTTAAAAGTGGATCCTCTAGTCCAGTACAACTTTCAGATGACTGCAGTCCCAGCCGACAGTTTGCAGCCTCATGAGAGATGCAGAGCTATAACCATCCAGCAAAGCAACTCTCAGATTCTTGATCCTCTGAAACTATGTGAGGCAACAGTATTATTTATCGTTTTAAGCTGCTACATTTTGGGGATATTTGTTATGCAGCAATAGATAATTAATGCACTGAATTAAAAAGAAATTAAGCCTGTGTAGAATAATTCCCATTTTTTATAAAATTATCCTTCCTTTTGGAGTCCTGGTGGCATAATGGTTAAGAGCTCAGCTGCTAACCAAAAGGTCAGCAGTTCAAATCCACCAGCTTCTCCTTGGAAGTCCTATGAAGCAGTTCTACTCAGTCGTAAACCAAAACCAAAAATCAAACCTGTTGCCGTCGAGTCGACTCCAGCTCATAGCGACCCCATAGGACAGAGAAGAACTGCCTACCATAGGGTTTCCAAAGAGTGGCTGGTGGATTCCAACTACCAACGTTTTGGTTAGCAGCTGAGCTCGTAAGCACTGCACCACCAGGGCTCCGACTCTGTCCTATAGGGTCGCTATGAGTCGGAATCAGCTCAACAGCAACAGGTTTTGGTTTTATCCCTTCTTTTATATAAATTTATGCTGAGATATATTCGTATGATATTCACCTAAGGTAAATGACAGTTGTTTCTGGGCAGTGGAATTTGGGTAATTTTTCTTGTGTTTGTACTTATTGATATTCTTGAACTACTTTTTTTAAAATGAGCATGTATCATTAAAATAAAATTAATAAAAAACAACAGCTAGTAAAAACTCTGAGCCAGGGTCTAGTGTAAAGGACGCATCATTTATCCCGATGGAAGTTGTGAGGGCTGTGTCTACAGGAAGCAGGCACACCACTCCTTCAGACAATTAGAACTCTCTTGGGCCTCACACTCAGTGGCACCGCAACAGCAAATGAGCCACCTCTGAAACTCGGCTTCATTCTTGTGCATCAGAAGGAACTGTCCCAGCAAGATGTAGGCCTGAGGGGAGGGGGCAAGGCAAGGAGAAAAACAGGAAAGGTTAGTATGAAACTGTCTCAGATATGTGCTTCCTTGCCCAAACACACGGAGTCACTTTAAAATCAAAGGAGCAGGTATAAAGGAATCCTGATCAAAAGTGGTAAAATGCAAAACAGAATTTCAAATTCTCATGGACTCCAGACTTTCTGGAGACATGGAGGCTGGATGAACCCATGAAACTATTGCCCTGAGATAATCTTTAAACCTTAAACCAAAAATATCCCCTGAAGTCTCTTTAAAACTAAGCAATAGTTTAGCTTAACCAGTAAAAAAAATGTCTGCCTTGAGCATGATGCTCTTTTAAGAACTATCTATATGGGATCAAATTGACAACAGCAACTTGGAAGTTTAGATAGGAACCTTAGGGGGCAGTGAGTTTATGTTAATGGGGGAGGAACAACTCAGAAAAGGAGGGTGAGAATGGTTGCACAACTTGAAGAATGTAATCAATCTCATTAAATGGTACATGGAGAAATGCTGAATTGGTGTACATTTTGCTGTATATATTCTCAATAAGAACAACAAAATAATAGAAAATAAATCAGAGGAGAAGGGATCAGGTCAGATTTGGGGGGACACTGTCAGTGTTCAAAGCCCTAGCTGGAAGCTACGAAGATTAGGGAACTAACTCCATGGTAAGATTTAACGTTAAGTTCAATGTCAATCAAGAAGCCCTAGTGGTGCAGTGGTTAAGTGCTTGGCTGCTAACCAAAAGGTCAGTGGTTCAAACTCACCAGCCACTCTGTGGAAGAAAGATGTGGCAGTCTGCTCCCAAAAGATTACAGCCTTGGAAACCCTATGGAGCAGTTTTACTCTGTCCTATAGGGTCACTATAGGGTGATTATGAGTCAGAATTGACTCACTGGGAATGAGTGTGGTTGGTCAGTTTCAATGCCCATCTTTGAGGGCTGGCTTAGGGGCTATCCAGCCTAGAATGAACTAGAACCCATCCTTCTTAAACTTTAGTGAGCACAAGAATCACCTGGCAGGTTCTGACTCAGTGGCCTGGGGTAGAGCATGCGTCATGGATTGAGTTGTGTCCCCCAAAAATATCTGTCAGCTTGGCTGGGTCATGATTCCCAGTGTTGTATGATTGTATAATCTGATGTGATTTCCTTATGTGTTGTAAACTCTATCACTATGATGAGATTATATGTGATCTCCTTATGTGTTGTAAATACTATCACTATGACGAGGTTATTCAGATGAGGTTGACAAGATCAAATAGTGTCTTAATGCAATCTCTTTTGAGATATCAAAGAGAGAAGTGAGCAGAGACACATAGGAACCTCACACCACCAAGAAAGCAGTGCCAGGAGCAGAGCACGTCCTTTGGACCTGAGGTTCCTGCGCTGAGATGCTCCCAGACTGTGATGGTTAAGATTGTGTGTCAACTTGGCTGGGCCATGATTCTCCGTGTCTTAATGTAATCACTCCCGTGATTGAATATACTGTGAGTAGCCAATCGGATGAAAGGGAGTCTCCTTGGAGGTGTGGTCCACATCTGTATATAAGCAGACGTTCTGGCTTTTTGCTCTCTCTGGATCCTGAGGCTGCTTCCTGTCGTCTCACCTCTCATTCTTGGGACTTGAGCTGTCAGCTTATCTGCCGAACCTGGGAATCGTCGATCTGCACGGCCTGTGAGTGGGAGACCTGCCAATCTCGGGCTTGCCAGCTTCTGCAGCTGTGTGACTTGGGAGAGGCCTCTACCCTGATCCACGGACTTGGGACATTCTAGCCTCTACAATCACATGAGCTGTTTCCTTGATATAATCTCTCTCTATATATATTTATACACTTTACTGGTTTTGCTTCTCTAGAGAACCCAGCCTAAGACACAAACCAAGGAAAGATTGAGGCATTACAAGGACCTTTCTCCAGAGCCGACAGAGAGAGAAAACCTTGTTCTGGAGCTGACACCCTGAATTTGGACTTGTAGCCTACTAGACTGTGAGAAAATAAACTTCTCTTTGTTAAAACCATCCACTCATGGTATTCTGTTGGAGCAGCACTAGATGACTAAGACAGCGTGAGACTCTGCATTTCTAACAAGCTCCCAGGGCGTTGCTGGCCTGGGGCCACATTTTGAATAGCCCGGGCCTGCACGCCTCCATCAGGACCCTGATCTAGTCTTTCTCTCTTTAAAACACACTCATACACAGAAGGAGTTAGAGATGCTCCTCACCCCATTTCTTTTCTAATTGCTCTAGCACAGGGATTCTCAGCCTTGGCACTATGGACATTTTGGTCTGGATCGTTCTCTGTGGTGTAGGGCTGTTCTGTGCATTTTGGATGTTTAGCAGCATCCCTAGCCTCTACCCATTAGATGCCAGCAGCACCCCCAGTGGTGTCAATCATAACCATCTCCAGATATCATCAAATGTCTCCAGGGGTACAAAGTCATCCTGAGTAGAAAATCACTGTGTGGGGGATAGCCAATAAAAAGCACCCTCTCATCTATTGTGTCCGCAAACCAGCTGTGTGAGCTCAGGCAATGCACTTAACCTGAAGAACCTGGGCCTCACTTTCTTCATCTCCACAAAGCGTATAATGTGACCTGCCCTGCCGTGTCCAGTAAAATAAACTAAGTGAATTAAATGTGAAAGCATTCCAAATCCACTGCCATCGAGTCGATTCCAAGTCATAGCAACCCTGTAGGATGGGGTAGAACTGCCCTAAATGGTTTCCAAGGTTGCAGATCTTTATGGAAGCAGACTGCCCCATCTTTCTCCTGAGACGTGGCTGCTGGGTTCGAAACCACCAATCTTTCCGTTAGCAGCCCAGTGCTTTAGCCACTGTGCCACCAGGGCTCCTTGAGAAGGCATTAGAAAAGTGCAAAGCCTTTTTTTTTTTTTTTTGGTAATGGAAGACAGAGCTCTGCTACGTGAATATAAAAGGTATAAAACACACTAAACCTTGCCCATCTTTCCCTCCTGAAGGGTATGAGATTAAAAATGAATGTAAAATAAATATTAAACAAACCATGAGTCATAGCCATTGCCATCAAGTTGCTTCTGACTCACAGAGACCCTATAGCGCACTTACATGGTATTCCATGTTGTTGCTGTTAGCTGCCATTGAGTTGGCCCCCTACTCATGGTGACCCCATGCACAACAGAACAAAATACTGCCAGGTCCTGTGCCATCCCCATAATTGGTTACAGATTGGACTGTTGTGATCCATAGGGCTCTCACTGGCTGATTTTCAGAAGTAGATTGCCAGGTCTGTCTTCCTAGTTCATCTTAGTCTGGACGCTCCACTGAAACCTGTTCAGCATCATAGCAACATACAAGCTTACACTGACAGACAAGTGGTGGCTGCTCATGAGGTGCATTGACTGGGAATCGAACCCAGATCTCCCATATGGAAGGTGGACATTCTACCGCTGAACCCCAATGCTTCATGATATTCCATAGTTTTATTTATTTATTTTCAAGATTCTACATGTACAGCTCAGTGACATTGATTACATTCTTTGGGTTGTGCAACCATTCTTACCCTCCTTTCCTGAGTTGTGCCTCCCTCATTAACATAAACTCATTGCCCTCTAAGGTTCCTATCTAACCTTTCGAGTTGCTATTGTCAATTTGATCCCATATAGGTGGATCTTAAAAGAACATAATGCTCAAGGCAAACATTCTTTACTAGTTAAGCTAAACCAATTTTGGTTTTATGAAGACTTCAGGGGATATCATTGTTTTCTGATTACTTGCTCCCACAGATTTTCATTTATCTTTTACAATTTTATCACAATATGATTGACAAGGAGCAAGGATCAGGCAGAGAAAGGGACCACTGAGACCATGTAGCCATAAATTAGCCAAGCACCAGCTGGTGGACCCAGAGCTTTCAGGTCATGGTAAAATACCATCTCTCAGCGCTGGTGTGGGCTCTCCCACCTGGAATGATCAAAAACCGGTGTTGACGCCTGCAAGGTCTGGGTCCTTTCCAGGAAAACCTGCTGGTGTCCATTTACTTTAGGTTACATAAAACAAAGCAAATGTGATTTTAACCAAAGAGAATATATTTTTAAAAAAGAAACTCAAATAAAAGCAGAATCCCAGTCATAAAATATACCCGAGCATGGAGCCTTGGGGTTTTTATTTTTAGTCATGGTCCAGTTGTTGAAGATAGAAAAAAAGTCAAGATTTCATGGTGATTTAAACCATTATTTCTATGATCTATTTTAAAAAGTAGTATAGTTTCTTCGTGAGTCGTAGTGGCACAGTGATTAAAGTGTTCGGCTGCTAATTGAAGGGTTGGTGGTTCAAACACACCAGCCACTCCGTGGAAGAAAGATGTGGCAGTCTGCTTCTGGAAGGATTACAGCCTTGAAAACCCTATGGGGCAGTTCTACACTGTCCTATATTGTCGCTACGAGTTGGAATCAACTTGAGGGCAGTGGGTTTGGTTTTGGTTTACAGTTACTTAAAATTATCTCCTTTTTACTTTATTGATATGCCCTTATTCTCAGTGTTGGATTTTACAGAGATGTTTTTAACTTCGCTTTTTTTTTTTTTTTAATGAACATTGTAAAACGGTGGTAGTAGCACCAGAACCTGTTTAACTTCAGAAGGGATAATGAGAATCAAGATCAGCCCAGGGCTGATTCCTGTGTGGTGGAGGTCAGACATACTTCTACTCTGCAAACTTTTTCACCAATTCTGATACCAGCTGTCTTGTCTGGGACACTCTCTACTTCTCTGCTGGGTTTGATAATTCATTGCAGTGACCACACGGAACTCACAGACCAAAACTTACACTTAAGAGGTTTATTAAAGAAGTAACAGGGTACAACTTGGGATCAGGAGCAACAAGCTACAATTCGGGATCCAGGATCAGGAAGCATGTAGGCAAAGTCTGGAAGTCTCCCTTGAAGTGGAGAGCATATCCCTCCTTTCTTCAGTGCAAGACAGCTCTCTCAGCTCCCCTCAGCCGTGCAAGCAAGCAGGCCCTTCTC